TATGAACTTTTTCATCAGGAGCTATTTGTTGAAACCCCAACAGACCAAGAGTGTTATATTTACCACTCTGTGCGCGCCCAGAGGTTTGGACACCAGTACTACTACCACAACCACTACTAATGGGACACCCATTGCCGTCACCAATGGTTTGCCTGAATCTCAAGTATATCTCAGTTTCCGATACTTTGAATCTGCGCTCCATTTCTATACCACAGAAGACACCGAACACTAAACCAATGGACGCGAAGATCATGTCTTGGGATCAGTTATGAACGGATCAGATAAACAATCACTGGTTTTGCAATCGTCTATACAATTGTTTTGACAGTTATTTAGTTTTTAAAACAAGTTTTAAATGTATTTTTGTACTTTTGTTACGCGCGTAACGCGTGTCTCATATCTAATTATTTAATTTATTTGATTTTTATTTTATTAATTAATTTTAATTTAAACTTTTATTTATTTAATACATTATATTAAAATTATAAAAAGATTTTCTCTCTAATCAGCAAAACATTTAAATTCAAACAAATGTTTTGCTAATAATTGATATCAAAAAAAGATTATATAAATTTTAATTCATATAAAAGTATATAATTGTAAATGAGTTATAAAAATTGTGTTTTTATGCATATCAAAAAATCACATTGATAAAAAGTCATTACAAAAACAATTCATTATATTATAAAACACAAAAACAATTAAAACAAGTAGTATTTTTCATTATAAGTATCGAAATATAATACTTATAAAATTTGTGGATTTAAACTAAAAATTAAATGTAATTACTTTTACAGATGACGAGAATAATGAAGTGAATGCTGATAATTATATTATAATTATATTAAAAAGTTTAATTTGAAAGCATATCAATCGAAATAAAAAACATTAAAAGTATAATTAAGTCGATAGTAATGTTAAATCAAATACAAAAATTTAAAATCAATTCAAAAACAGATTTTCTTTACAAATAAAATTATTGCATCAAAAAATTTAATTAAAATCAATTCAATTAAATTTCTTAATGATCTCAACGTTATTATTAATATTATTATTATTATTATTAATACTACGGAAACCAATATAGCTATCGGTGCTATTCATATGGTTCTTAAGCTTAATGTCCGCACCGGTGATCAGTTGACCGCCATTTTGGTGGTGATCGGCCTTAAGAGGTGAGTAACCATTGATGTACTGGTGATCAACCTTTACGGCGTCGCCGTTGTTGTACTGGTGATCGACCACTTTCACGGCATCGCCATTTTGGTAGACATCATAGCGTTTACGCAAACCATTGGTGACGGCAATGGGTGTCCCATTAGTAGTGGTTGTGGTAGTAGTACTGGTGTCCAAACCTCTGGGCGCGCACAGAGTGGTAAATATAACACTCTTGGTCTGTTGGGGTTTCAACAAATAGCTCCTGATGAAAAAGTTCATAAACAGCACAAAAAACAGCCCATAAAGGGAAGTGCCGGTGAGGGCTACGGATATGTGACAATCGCAGGGCTGGCCAGTGATCTTATACCACAGCGCCTGTACGTTGACGTACAGGCCGTACAGCATTTGAACGATTTGCAGGGAAGTGATGGTCACATTCACCGCACGGGGTATTGACAACCGGAACGCTTTGCACGCGTAATACGTGTACATAAGGCTGTGTATTAGGAAATTCATGTTGACCATCCATCTGGCGGTGCCGGGCACGTCACCGAACACGTACCACGAGTAGCATAGGGTCAGGCAGTGGTGTACCCAGTGTAGAGTGATCAGGTGCTGTTTGCGCAGTACGATGAATACCGTGTCAATTAGCTCTAGGGCTTTCGATAGCACAAAGAATAGGTACCACAGGTTTAGCCGCCAGTCCTATAGGGGATGGGAGGGGTAGATGTATATATATATAATGGTAAAATTAGTAATTATTAAATCTATATTTATGATGATAAGTTTATGGAAAATGGTTTTGTGTTTGTTTTTTATGTTGTGATAACTCATTGTAATTATGTGTCGTAAAAGTTCCCTGTTGTTACATAAAAACTATACTATTTATTATATTAAGTTAATATACTTTAGAGTTAATATTACGTTCATGTTTTATCATGAACAGAACTCAATGTTATTTAATACACCATAAAAACTAATCAAATTACAATCAGATAATAAATTTGTCGCTAGTTGTATTGAATAAACAAAACAATAAAATGTAATTGTAATTAGAAACTATGATAAAAATATTATTCACTAGTCTCAACAATAAAAAACAAGCTTAATAAACAAACTAGAACATAAATTATTTTGTAAAATAATATACTTTACCAAAAAAACTACCCAAAATGTAATTAAAACATTACTAAAATACCACCATACACAAAACAAACAAAATAAACCACGTTCATTTAATTAATAACTCACTTTGTAATAACTGGAGTCGGTAAACGAGGCGCTAAAACCCTTAAACCAGAGTATATGGCAAAACTCGGGCAAACACCGGACCACACCTATGATGGAGAACAGGGCCAGACTGGCCGACCAGTAGGCCATCGGCACCCGTAGATTAAACGCCGGCCTTGACTTCATTACATGCTTAATGGCCAGTATTACCCCGATGTACACAATGGACAGGTATATGGAGTAGTGCCAGTGTTGTTGCATAAATCGATGCAGGTGGTCGCCGTAGGGTTGTATGGCCATTTCCATCTCGGTCAGGCCCGGCAGGTACGGCAGCCCTGGGAATTGGGCCCAATCTTGTGACCATTTCAGCGCTGGGCTCGAGTCGGGTGCTATGATGTGAAAGTCGTGATACCGTATGTCTTCAAACATGACTCTGACTGTATGTTTTGGTTATTGTTATTAATTTATTATTATTAATAATTAATTGTTTTGTTTGTAGACCTTGTTTTCCGGTATTAATTAATGATTAAGTATAGGAGTTGTGAATACCGTTTACCTTAATGGAGAAAGAGATAAAAATTGTTGATTAGTTTTAATTAGTTATATAACTTTAATATACATCTAATTATATCTAATTTTGTATATATTAATTACGGTTATTTTACAAGTTTTACAAACATCCAGGTCCTCGTCTTAGATACTTATAATTGTAACTATTATTACTTACAGATTTATTATTGATTAAGAGTAGTTAATAAATTAATTTTTATAAAATATCAAATTATAAACGTGTATTTTTTAATACAGCACAAAATAATTAATTAATAAATGAACAAGTTAAAGCATTAAGGTGTTTACAATATTTATAAATTCATTATGAATTTAGTTAATATTTGTTTTAAAACTTGATTTTAAACATCAAATAATATATTTGTTTATAAATACATGACATTCAACGGGCACTACATCTTTGAAAGTGTGACTTGACTTTTAATATAAATATAACTATAATTAAAAGTAAAACTAAAAATACAACAACTCACTTTTACTCAAATAATAAAATGAAAATAACTAATACAAGTAAAAGTAAATATAATTTTATGTTTTATATATAAAATAAAAACTATACATTTATCTCAACGCTATTTGTTTCCCATAAATGCATATCTGGTATAAAAATATGCACTTATTTTTTGTGTTACTTTTATTTTGTAATAAAATCATAATTATTGTGAAGTAATTGTTGATAATCTTCTCTCTCACTTTCTCTCTCTCTCTCTCTCTCTCTCTCTCTCTCTCTCTC